AAAGTCAAGTTTTCTCACTAGCTGGCTACTGAATACAGTTTCAACACAACTCATCAGCACACTTCCAACCAAATCCACCATGAATGAATAAACATAAAATGAGTAAATATATTGTGAAGGCACTGTTTAACAATCCTACAGTATTAATGCCACCTTCTTAAATGTTTGGTAAATATTTATGCTTCAGAAACTGTGAAACAAACGACTAAGGGTGGGAAAGAGCTTAGAAGCTTTCACAAAGAAACAAAGACACAGCGGGTGTGAAGAGAATGAGTGTGCTTGAACATTTATTCTTAAAAATTCTATCACAAAAATACTTACATGAAGATAACATTAGATGTTAAAACTTTTGCAGAAAGACAACACTTAATTACCAATGAAAAATACAACTGCTTTAAAAAGCAAGAAAGGCATGAGAGAATCATAATGGCTCCTGGGAAAGAAGAGACTGCCCAGAAAAGTGGAGAAAAGGCAGGTGGGTGCATTTGTTAGTAGATGGGTAACAAATTGGTGGAATGCAATTTGATATGTAAGAAAAAGAGTTGGAGTTACAGACCATTCTAAGAACTACATAGTTCAGAACACTCTGCAAGGACACTGTACTTCCAAACATCCATTCAGCTTAACTTCAGAGCAGAACCCTCTGTCTGTCTGTGCAGTGAAAGCCTCTAATCAATGATGTATACAGGTAATGACTGGCTAAATATCAGTTAGAAGCATTACACCACTCAAAATTAAAAACACAAGGGGTAAAGTAAGCAATCAAGGCAGTTAACAAGAGAACAAGGCATTCCTAAAAACAAACATTCCAAATCACCACAGGACTCCCAGTACTCTCAAAACTGACAGGTTTCCTCCAGGATTTCAGTGCAAGTAAATTAGTGGAGATTAAGTGTAGTTTCCAAATCTAAAGGCATCCATGAAGTGGACACAATGCATTCCTTCTTCACATTGGCAATTTTACACTTAAGGAGAAAATTCCTTTCAAGAGTGTAGCATAGGAAGACTATAAGAGGACTTTACCATAACAGAAATTAATTTGTGAGAAAAATCAGCCAATTACAATTCTATTTTTTTGATAAAACTAGTCAAGATACCTGATTTTATAAAGAAATCAGTTCCAAGGATTATATTAGAGAAACTTAAACATTTTTCTCACCCTTCCATCATCTTTCTAGCAAATCACTGGGGTGATTCACAAATAAGTGAACACCTCATCTTTTTGGCAACCCTCTGTAGTGAACACTGTGTGTATTTGCAACAAGCTAAGCCAAGCCTTATTATAAAATTTCCAATAAGCATAACAGTAATGTTAAAGATACCCAAGAAGAAAATAAAAACTTGCAAAAAGTAAGAAAGCCATAACTAGCAGTGTGCAGGTAGTCTATTTAAGAGACAGCCAACAGCTTTTCCATCAGTCTTAGGGGGATCCTCTTTGAACCAATTATAGAAGAATTAGACACAAGGAGAAACTGAAAACAATTGAAAAAGCTAGAAATCCCTTCTATTACATAACTTGTCTAATTCCACACCAAAATACAGGCTGAGCTCCAAACTGGAGGAAAAGACTAACAGAATACAATTCAATTCCTCTTGTTTCCTCTTAGCATTTAACAGAATAACCTAGTGTCTAACCTCACTTTTTGTTTGCATTGGCAACAGTAAAATGGCAAACTGTGGAAATAAAAACACACCCCTCGATTTTGAATTATCACATTTGAAATGACTCACTACAAACAACGACCTCAGGACCCAGCAAGTTCTATGTTTTCTGACTTAAAAACACTGTCAAGAATAGGTATTAGAAACAACAAAATTGGTATAGTTCTGAAATCCAAGGAGATTACAGACAATGACAGATCTCACATCAGACCAGACTTTCTGGCAACACAACTGTGTACAGTAAAGTACCTACAAGTGGTCCACATGGGTAGTATCATATGTGACTTCACAGCGTGAATAAATAATTATTTAGGCTGCAAATCCTCATTCACATTCTTCTAAAAATAACTCTGACCAGAGCCTGGGAATTGCCAGCGAGGGCCTTAAAGGAGGCAACAGTATCCCTTCATGTCCCTCCTGTTAAAATAAGATTCTCATACAAAGGAATTATGTGTCTACAGATAAAACCCGAAATATATAACCAAGTATAGGCAATAAAAGCCTTATCTATGCAAGTCTGCAGAACTCAGAACAGCAACATCTCAATATCATGTAAATAATTACAATTATCACAACAATGTTAGCTATTGTGTTTTACATGTCAGAAAAGGGCCTGAAGATTGCAAATATGCACTATCTACTGAAGTGTCTTTTCCTTTTAATGTAACAAGTGGGTGTCAGCAGAGAGAGCAACTGCTGCTTGATTTAATTCGGTCAAGAGAGCTCAAGGAACTAGGTCAAGACCCAGAAGAACATGCACTCATACACTGAACCAGCAGAGAAAAGCTGGCTAAAAGCATCTAGAAGTTGAAAAAAAATTCACCTTTGCAAACATCAGTCTGACTTGCAGAGCCATGCAAACCAATTCCATACATCTCTGCCAAACTAAAGATGTCATTATTTCCACACCAGTACATTTTTAAAAATTCAGCTCCTTTCTAACAAGATAACATGTGCAACAAGACTTAATGCAAAACATGAGATAAAGATATATGCATATGCTTTGCCCTATGCACAATGCTTACTTCTACATCTCAGGACTTACAGCATTTAAAAATGTCAACACAATTCCCTTTCTCTGCAGCAGTAGAATTTAAAACTTAACATGCTCTGGAAAGTCTATGGTTAATGCAAAGTGTACTTTATGGTACTAAACCAGTGAAAACTGAACATTTGTACATAGCACAACATGGCCAGATTCCAACTCAATTCAATAAAAAGTCCATTCTCTGTTCATGCAAGAGCAAGATTCAGAAGAGAATAAAGTTTTACAGTTCCAAATACGGAGATACCAATGAGGCAGGTGATGGTTAAAGATCAGGAAAAGTACTGACACTGGCCTGAAGAAACAGGAGATAAAAGGAAAAGTAGAAAGAGTTTGTGTAATTTCTGTTAACTGTGTCTCTGGCTCTGCTTAGTGCAAACATCACCTGAATTCAAGGGTCATGATGCAGTAGATTAATAGAGAAATCAAGTTTTGTTAAAAAGAAAAAGAAATCACGCAAAGAGCTAAGAGCTATATGTTAATTAAAAATAAAATTTAATTGTGAATGTTACTTATTTTGCTGTCTGCTATTAAATATAAATTACTATCAGCAGAAAGGAACTAGAACAACTCCTGAAGCAGGCACAATGCTGTTTGCCGACTTCTTTGCGACAGTGGTAAGGCCCTCTTACTCCACTATTGCAAAAGAAAGAGCTAATTTACTAGAAAAAGGGAAAATGCCACGAATCAGACAAGGAAAATGAACTACTCTATATAATTATGGCTTATATGGCTTTACATGAGTAGCTTTAAAGAAGTTAACAAAAGCCTCTATGAAACCTTAGTGGACTTAAATCAAAGCCTGTGGGAACATTTGCAGTTATTCCCAGCCAAGTCTGCAGTTTGTTTATAGAAAACAGTTTTCAGATTTCCATGACCAGTCCCACAGAATCTACTCAGAAGAGCAGCACCACAATACTATGAGTGCACCCAGGTGAAAACTCACCTAAAAGACAGCATTGTCTTAAGAACCCCGGTGAACTTACGGTTGCAATCTTTGGACAAAAATTGTTCCGAGAATGAGTCATACATAGGGGCTCTCTCTGCTGCTCAGACTTTCTGCAGATCTCCTCACCTACCACCCCACCTTGCCCCACAACTTCCACGAATCCAAAGCGCATCCCGATTAAACGGGGTGACCTCACCTTTCATTTTCACAGTGGGGGAATTGGGTCCAGCCGATTGCTTCCTCCATCCTCTCCAGTTCTGGCAAAGGCTCTCTGCCTCAGAGATGAAGGAACAAAGAGAGTCTTCCTCAAAGCGATCGGAGTCCTCAAATGAAAACCTCTCCCCGTCCTCCCACTCTGCGAACATGAGTTCCATCACATCCGACAGGCGACGTAGGGGAAAAGAAGAAAGACAGGAATAGAACTGCTCACTTTTAACAGGTGAATGGACTTGACAGCTCTTGCAATACCTAAAATCTCGGTTTTGATTTGATCCCCATACTACAGTACCAGGAAAAAACAAAGTCAGCTCTGAGATGGGAGAAGCAGGAAATAACTAAGGGGCAGCTGGTAAAAATTCTATGGGGGAAAAAAGAAAGTTCTTTAAAAAGTTAAAAAATGCTTATGTCCACAGAATGTACTTGAGGCGGAGGGGGCTGGTTAGTCCGTGAGAGCTGCCTCCAGGCGGGACAGGTGCGTGCCGGGCACACGGAGGGTCCGAAGGCTCCCGGCGCTGCAGAACGAGGGAAGGGGCCGGCTTCCTCCTCCGGGGCTCCCGCGGGGGGGCCGCCGGTGTTTGTGCGCAGGGCCGGGTCTCCCTGAGGTTGTGCTTGTCTCACTCCCGGCGCAGGAACCGAGGGGAGGGCGGGCAGGGGCACCGGCGGGGGCTGGGGGGGGAACAACTTCCCTCCCGCCCGCAGGAGCTTAAAAACAGCCCGGTGGGGCCGGAGCGCCCGCGGAGGGGCGGCGCGACCTCCCGGCTGCTCGCCACGGGCAGCGGCGCGGGCGGGCAGGCGGCGGCTCCGGCCTCACGGGGGCGCGGGCGGCGGCCGGCGGGGAGCGGCCGGCGCTGGTCCCAGCGGGCAGGGCGGGGGCAGCCCGTCGCCGCTCCGGTCGCGGTGGCCCCGCGGTGTCTCTATGAGCCCATGGCCAGCGGGCCCTGCTGGACGGCCCCGAGCCCGGCGCGGCCCCGGCGCTTCGCGGCCCCGGCGGGTCCCGTCCCTGCCCGGCGCGGGCACCAAGATGGCTCCGCGCTTCCCAGCTTCACCTGCGACACCCCCCGCCAGCTGAGAGCCGCTTCCGCCGCCGCGCTTCCGGCTTCCGCCGCGCGGGGCATGCCGGGGCGGCGCTGCCGTGCCTCAGGCGGAGCCCGGCGGGGCCGGGGCCGGAGCGGGCTCGGCCAGAGCGGCTCTGGGAGCGGCACTAATGAAACAAAGGCCCGTGTGCTGTGCCTGCCGCGCCGCCGGAGGCAGCGGGAGAGCGCTGGCTGTGGTAAAATGGGGGGGTTACCCCGGAACGCACCGACGATGAGTTGCGTGAGGCAGAAATCACTCAGTGATCATCTGACTGGAGGTGAAAGAAATGTACGCGTTTTCAGTAATAATTTTTTGTTTAAGAAGAAAAACAGCAGTAAAGAAGATCAAGGGAATAAAAAGGAAGTGAAATGAGGAGACCGTGGCTCGAGTAAGTCCCGTTCCAGTGCAGTGCCGCCTTCCTTCGGCCGGGAGAGCCCCTCGCCCTGCGAGGCCCAGGGGAGGAGGGCTCTGAGGAGCTGCTCGGGTGTGAACAATTCCAAAATCCCAACAGAGCAGATAAGGCACGTGCCAGCTCCATGAGGAATTGCATAGGCTAGCTAAGGTCTTCCTATCCTTCCCACTCTAAAAGCACCAAAGGTGACATTATTTTTTTTTTCCCCCTATAATTTTATTTCTTTGAGTTCTAGTTCATTGTTCCATTGAGAAAGTTGACTGGTAAAGTACCAAAGGATAAGTTTGCTCTTTGAGTACATGTCAGCCAAACAGGTGAACCTACACCTCCCTCCCTGTGTTTGTACAGAGGGGAAAAGCAAATGATGGGAAAAAAAAAAAAAAAAAAAAAAAAAGCTAGGGAAGAAAGAATGACATACTAAGAAATGGTAAGTGGTAAGTGTAGGGCTGAGAGAAACTGAAATGCATCTGGGAACGCTCACTATCTCTCTCATCTCACTCTAGTCCTTGATCCCAAAAAAATGTATTAATTGAGGAGTCTTCACAGAGGATCCTAAGCAATGCACCTTGGATCTTAAAGGAAACTTCCTACATGGTTTGTCCTTAAAAAACCATGCTTCCCAGTTTAAGGTTTCAAACACAAAGATGCATTACCGCAGTGTCTATCAGCTGTAAGTGTATGGTCACTCACTGAGATGTCAGATCCTTCCGTGGTACCAAGGCAGACACCCCCCAGGTGCACTGGGCAGGGAGGCACAACGAGGGCGAGGCAGCTCGAGGCAATGTGTTGCAGCACAGCATGCCAAGTGCTGGCTCCTGTGCTGCTTAATCCTGTGCCAAAGTTGTCCTGTGATCAGTCAAATCTGTGCTGCCAAATAACCTGCTAGTGCCATGCCAGCAGTAATTCAGGAGGGAGACACACCTGCCTGATAATGGGAATTCTGGCAGGTTACATCAATTGCACTCTGAGTCAAGGGCATTGCAGAGAATCTCTGCCACATGAGAAAGCAAAGATACACAAAGGCATTGTAATACTTGGTGCAGTGTTGCATTAAAGAAGGATTTCACCTTAGGAAGGGTGTTTCCCCAGTGAGAAAAAAACATTTAGAAGACTGTAATAATTTCAAAGAATAAAAAAACTACAGCTGAAATTTTGAAGAGTATTTTCATGGGGAAAAGGAGATTGGGGGGGGGGGGGAAGAAAAATAAATCAAATGCATTGTGTCCAAGGAGTGAAGAGGTAACTACAGGTGAAATTCAGCACCCCAACTCAGATGTTGTGGCACTTGAAATGACAGAAATGAGCAGGGAAACACAGTGATGCCATAAGGCTGATGCTGCTCACCAATATCTTTTGACATTATGTGCAACACAGCACTGTTAGATTTTACCTAAATTCCAGTGTATTCCAGAGAATACACATTACATCCAGAAAGGGCGGAGGAGAAGAGGAATACTGGACAGTACTAATTATAAGGGGGCTTCAGTACATTGTGTTTGATTCCATTAAATTGTAACAATCCTCACTCCCATTCCTCCTTCTTCCAGCTTTTGGGATACCACAAGTTATGGAGATTTTCAAAGAAATCTTGCTTTCACTTTCTTAAACATCACAGGCTGAAAGCATGGAAGAGGTGATGAAAATAATGAGAGAAGCAAAGGAGAATGAACATTTGCACTTTTATCTTAAAGTGCATTTCAAGACCCTGTAAAAATGTGTCTTCTGGCTTGTGCAGACCAGGCCTGGGTGTGTTGCTGCCCTGGCCAACATGAGGGAGTGCAGGTGTAAGTGCTTCGCTTCTCCTTGTCCTCATGGCTAGGAAAAGCACACAAATTCATAAACACTCTTCCTTTTTTTTCCCAGCCAACTTATTGCATGAGACAGGCATGTATTTCCCTTTGTGGATCTTCAACAGACAGAAATTAGAGGCTGTGAAAAATAATATCTGACAATTTCAGCAGTGTTCTGCTAGGAAGAAAGAAATTCAGTAAGAAATCCTGCAGAAATTACAAGGTTGCCAGTAAGAAGCTTTCTCGCTTACAGGGATGTACTTTTTTTCTTTTCTTATTTCAGAAAAAGGAAATTGCTGTTCAGAATTTCTCTGCATCCAATGCAGACAATTTTCAGAATGCAGCATTCCATATGAGAGAGACACATATGAGTGCACACGCCTACCCTAAAGCAGGATCACAACATTTACATTTGTTTCCTGTCTTAAGCTCTCACTGGGGACTAAAAATCAATGAGAGTCTGCACTGCACCTCAGAAGTGTCTGCTTTTCACTCTTGAGTCTTGTGCTACACTGCAAGTCATATCCAGCATGGGGGTTTTTATTTCTGATTGCATGGAAAGTTAAACACATCCTTGCTATGGCTTGAATCTAATACAGACTCAATAACAAAATACAGCACTCTAGAGATTTTCAGTGCAAGTGCAGTGGGACCCAGCTGTTCAGCTCCATTCTGACTCAACAAAGGTTTCATTGTCTCTTTGCATGCGATAATGCACTCAGAAATGACAAGCAAAGGCAAATTCTTAAAGCACACATATGGCTTTGTGTCTAAATAATATATTGGCTGTGCAGAGTGGTTTTGGGCTCTAGAACTATGGCACTCTGGCGAACTGCCAAAAGTTCCTGTTCCTCCTAGATGATCACTGTTTCATGCTATACTGATCACTTAATTAATAACTAATAATAATTACTAACAGATAGTAAACATCTCCACAGACATAACAACCAGCCACCATTATTTATGTCAAAACACTAGGCCTGTAGAACAGATGGAGCAAATAACTGTTTTAGCACAAAAGAAGGGACAGCACACAGCTCATTGCTCCTTGCTCTGCTTCTAACTAGGCAAGTGGCTGTACAAGATGCACAGAGTTTTCCAGACAATGCATACCAGGAAGCTGAAAGCAAAGCTGTCCTGAGGTATTACAAGTTAAATTTCCCCCATATGGATTGAGCATTTTCCAATCTTTGACTAATCCTAGCCACAGAAGACTTTGAAGTGATGTTGTCCAAGGTGCTGTTCCTGGGATTTTAGAGAATATGAACACATGCCTGATTAAAGCCTTATTCAAAACTAAATTCACCATTTGTGAGATAAGTCACTGGTATGTACATACATACATGGAAAATAGAGTCAGTAGGGAAGCACTGTGCAACAGCTGCTACAATTACTGTTATACAGCAGGAGACAACAATTATGGCTAAGACCTCATGTAGGAATATAACTGCTACTCTTCAGAAAGAGAAGATGGCATTTACAGATAATATTGCCTGCAAGAATTACTGAGCATATGTTGTCTGGCATCTTGTATTTCACAGGATACAAGTATATTTTCCTCTTCCTTTCACACTAACCTGCAGGAGCATTTGTTTTTGTTTTCACACTTTCTTCTGCCATTACCAAAGCTGACAGTCTGGCAGGGTCTAATATGCACTATACATTCACAGATAAAAGCACCAAGCTAAAGGGAACTGATATGTTCTCCATTTTGCAGAGGGGAAAGAAAACAGCTATTACACTGCAAGTCCTCTTTTTTCTCAGTCAGTATCGCATTTGGACATTTCCTCAGCCGGTGTGAAAAGATTGTGAAAGCAGTATAATAGCTCTCTCCTTTGTCTAGAGAAGAGGTTAGATACATCCTTTATGGAAACACAGCAATTGATAACTCAGTTTGCTAGTATTACCCTAACTAGCAATGTTATACTGTTGAAAGATTCCTAAGTACTCCAAGAACACTTTTTTAATGCAGAGAAAATACAGGTTCCTTGGCTTATTTTCAGTTCACAAAAAAATAATCAAGGAAAATTGATAAATGTGACACTCCTCTAGCAATCTACAATTTTAGAAATCAAAAATGGTAATTAAAAATAACAAGTGCTGCAGTAGCTGACCCATAACACACCTTTGCTGCAGAAGACAGGTTTCTGTATTTGTTTTTGAGGGTACAGTCAGCTCGTAAGTGAAGGATAACTGTTAGGGAATATAGGAAGCACATTTGTTCGTGTCAAGGCCAAATGCAGTGCTCTGCAATGTACACAAGCACATCTTGGCTAAGTGATGTAATGCTCTGCTATATTTACATGCTTCTCATATCTCCAGGAGCAGAAGCTTTCTCCATGCTATGGAACTTTCTCCTTCCGATGAAACTCACCATAGCAAAATTTACACTATACCTGCTTCTTAGCCGTAAAATCTTTCAAAATAAATAACAGATACATTAGTACTTAAATATAGGGATAAAAGATTGCCAAGAAGAGGTGATTCTAAAATACAAGAACAACTGTGTACAATATTATGGACAGTAAAATGGTATGTATTCTCTACAATCTTTCCCTAGAAAAATAATCTAACCGTGGAGTTAGGGATGTGAGGGGTTTTATTTTAAAAATTGAGTTCGTCCTACCTCTCAACAGATCCCAATGGGAAGTTCAATCATCAATTAAATTGTCAATCTAAGATAAGGTTCTCTCTTACAATAGTGTGGTTGCTACAACCACGCAGCAACGCTTCATTTAAGAAAACACACCTGACAAGTTTCGTGCTCATGGGTGTAGGTAAGGGTCAGTGCTGTTCCAGTTACATATGTTTAACTGGCCTCTTTTGTGTAAGAAAGAGGAGACACTAACAAAGACTTGATGCCATGATGTTATGTCATGATGACTGAAAACTGCCTGGACTGCTAGATACAGAGACAACACTTCAGTCACTTTTCTTTTTCTGTAATAAGTGAGGGGGAAATTTTTTTTTTTCTAGACCTATTGACTTGAGCAAGCAGGATTTATTGCAGGATGCTCTGTAAAACAAACCAGTCAAGCCTTAAAATTATCTGAATGCTTATTGGTAGAGTGTGTTCACCTATTCTACCTGCAGATCTCATATCCCTGGTGTATTCAGGAGGCAAGCTCTTTCAACAAAATCCTCCTTTATGAGACTTAGAGACTCTCAGGTTAAATCCACTGCTTCTATTTTCATCTCTCTTCTCTAGGCAGGTGACCAACCCTTAGCAGGTACTGACAGTGGTTGTTTTGTGCACTGCCTCAAAGGCTACCAGCTTTTTTAGTCAGATCTTCATTTTCAGCCATGTTCCTGCAAAATTCTGTGACAAGATCCTGTAAAACTTCCTATCCAAAACTTTAATGCATTTCCCAATATAATTATTTCACATATCTTCTTGGGAAAAGGTAACTAGATTTGTGTAATTCTGTCATCACCTTTAGTGTTAAATTTAGCAAACTGTATTTTTTAGGATGGTTAAATGCAATAGTAGTAGGAGTTTAGTGAGTAGTGGCACACTCTGCTTATTTCTTCAGGAACTCTGACTCATCTAAACAGAAGCATCTGATTCAAACAGTGCATCATCTCTAAGTTTCAACCACAAAGTTGCATCAGTTTAACCAAATTGTTAAACCTATGTAACTATGAAGACAAGCCTTGAAGGAAAATAAAGATTTCTCAAGTCCTAATCAACCTAGCTGTGGCTTAAACACGTGGGGAGTTAAAAGGCTTTCTGTTGAGACTTCAGTATAATTGTGCTGAATAACAGAATCTGCTTTTTAATCTTGCAAGAGATAATAAAACAGTAAACCTGAAGCAAAGGAGCTTTCCTCTGGTATGTTTGGTTACTGGTTCTAGAATCCCACAATCAGAGGTCATAATCCTACTTCACCTCCAGCAAGCCTGTACATGCCACTGGGGAGGGGGAAAAGAGCAAGGAACTAAACTTTAGAAGCACGTGTTCTTTTCATACAACTCTGGATTACACAGAGCAGATTAGTTATATTGCAAAGAAAAGGGTTTTGTTGTTTGAAGTGGTTCTGTCCTGTTCCCAAGAAGAAAGTGACAGAAGAATATAAACTTTTGCAGTGGTTTCAGCTGAGTTGTCCACTCGCATTGCCACAGTAAATCTCCAGTGTCTGCAGTGCCGAGGGTGCTGTGCAGGCTGGCAGGTGGGCAGACAGGAGAGCACGCTGCTGCAGTACCCTTGGCAGTACCTGCTGCTGGCTCCTGAGCCCCAGGGCTCCCAGGGGCTGGGAACCAAAGCATCCTCAGCAAATGCTTCCCAACAGGATTCACTTGCTGAAATTTTAATTCCTGCCAGCTTGTTTCTTCTGTCAGGCAGCAACTGATCATGAGCCTAGCACTGAGTTCCCCCTGTTCCCAGCTCAGCCCTTAGCTGCCCTGATGCTTGCATGAAAGCCACTGCAGATATAAAGGGATAGGAGAAACAAGGCCTTTTGCTTAGCTGACAGTGACAGCTACACAGCTTCTCATTAGTAAAGCTGAACCAAAGAAATTGGTTCTTCCTTTCAGGTGACAGGCTAGTTTTGAAAATCTGCAAAGAGAACAGTGCCTTTTATTTCTGGCAGAATGTGTGGGATTTGAAAAGGAGGGAGGAGAAGATCAAGTGGTGCAGTGGGATTTCACCAATTTGTTTGAATTTGACTGTTCTACACCTGTCTTCCATCAACACATCTTAAATCCAAAGGTTTTTCTAAACATAAATTACTCCACCTGGACCATCCATATTTTGCTGGCTCTGCTTCCTCTTTTCACTTTTGCACATGGACAGAATTCCATAGAAACCTCTTTCCAATGCCAGGAACCCTTTCTAAACAGACCAGTTTAAGAGTAGCACAGGACTCAGCCCAGCGAACCAAGGCAATTTGACCAATATCCTGTCTACTTCCACTAGAAAGAGGAAATTGTACCCAAGTAAGAATTTTTAAATATCAGTGGTGATACCTGAATGCCCTTCTTCCTCTCTCCCAATGAATCTGGTAGCTATCCTTATTAGAAAACCACATGAAGTAAAGCTCAGTTTTCTCCTCATTCATATTTCACTTTCAAAATCCAAAGATACCTTGAGAGTAGACAATCTGAAACAAGTAAGCTTGTGCTCTACACTCCTCCCCAGCCTTTTCACCACAGGAAACCAGTAGGCAAGTGCTTTTATACAAAATGACATTTGATAGACTTGTAAACTTAACCACAGCTTCAACATTCTTTTCCAGGCAGCGACTACAGAAGAGCCCTGCAGGATTGATGGGATGAAACAGTGCCTGCTGACCCATGGAAGACCAGCTAAAATGCCTGAACTCTGCTTCCCAGTTTTGCATGAGCAAGAAGGAAAATGTAGGTAGGCATAGAAAACCCCAAAAGCAGACATGAAGTGAGGAAAGTGTTAACTACAAAAAGTTCTTTCTTCAGTGAGTGCGTGTTGGTTTCGAACAGCAGGCTGGACTCAGTACATTCAAAAACTTACACACTATAATTCTTGGTGCCTGCAGGCAGCAGCCACACCAAGCTTCAGTCTAACCCTAATGACTTGGAAAAGTCTTTGCATACTTTACAAGGAGCTGGACCATATTTCAAAACAGACTTTTGTAACAGAAATTAAGGTTTCAGTGGTGGGGCAGCATGGGTAGAGTATATCAGTGTTCTTGAACCAATGGCTCACTCAAACTGAACTTCCTTTATCCCACTTCCACTTTTCCAGAGGCTGGCTTTGACTCTTTAGAGTGATGACACATGAATTGTAGATTAAAAGAAGACTAAGTCATGCCAAACAAGTTTGTATAGGAAGATCATCTTTAACAACAAATTAGAAAGTTGATGTATTAAAGCCTGTTAAATTTTTTAATGCAATGAGCTGACCTGCTCTTTACCTGTTCCAAATGGCAAAAAATGTGAAATTTGAAGAATTGTTGCCTTTCATTGGAATGGCAGCTAATGTGATGCTGACTTTGTGACATGCTTTAGCATGTTGAAGCTTCTCAAAAAATAATGTTAATAGAAAAATTTAATTAACTTAACTCAGTGCTGAAAAAAAAACCCCTAAAATCTGCCCTTGGAACAGATTCCTTTATTAAAAATAAGACAGAGCCCCACACAGTCATAGTATAATCCATTTATTAGCATAACTTGTGAGCCATTGGTGGTGATCCAGGAGACATGACAGCTTTGGCACTTGACTGATTTCAGAGGTACTCAGCCCTTAGTAGAAAGGGGTTTTAATAGGACTTGAGTGGGCTACTACACAAAGAAGTTTCTGATGTGGAAAATTAAATATTTTTCCAAACAGCCCAGGAGATGTGCATTAGTACAGGTCACAGTGCCTTGTTCTACAAGGAGTAGTCTCAACTTGGTTACCACCAGAGGTGATTCTGTTCTCTCTAACTGTAAGAAACTCCCAGAGAGTCTATCAAGATAGTGTTAAATACCACAGTGTAGTTTCATCTCTCTGAAGTTTTCATCTTATTGTCGAATATATGCATTAAAATCCTTCTTCAAGTACTTGATGAATCACTGCAGCTCTTTTGGGGTGAAAAGGCTTCAGGATACAGGCTTCAGAAAGAAAGGAAGACATACAAAAGGCAGATCTACCTCTGTTACCCCTGAGATAGCAAATGCCCACTTTCCTTGTTCCTCACCAATGCCTCCAGTCATACCTTAGAGAAACTTAGAAAAACCTTAGAGAAACTTAGAGAAATCTGTTCTTTTCTGCTACAGTTTTACAGCAGTTACAAGGGTAATTGACATCTTGTCCAGGTTAATAAACAGCTGCCTGATTAATTATAGCAAAGAACATAATTCATAGAATTCATCAGAACAGTGTTCAGCTACAAGAAAGTGATAAATCTTTAATCCAGCTTCAGGTAGCCAAAGTGTGTACAGGTTTGAGATAGTACCACTGCAGGCACTGCAGGTCAGAAAGATCCCAGTACTGGGGCAGCCTTTGGAGCACTGGAGTATTCTCTCAAGGAGGGATAGGATCAGCACTAAGAGCTGCTCCTTAGATCCTTACTATAGCCATGTTTCTACTCCTGCCAATGCTCCTAGCCACTCACAGTGATGTTCCCTTTCCCACACAACCACGATGTGCCACTTTGCTATGAAAAGCTCTCTCAGAGCATCCATGTGGCACAGTGCAGCCACCAGCAACACTGACTGATCTCTCAGCTCCTGGAACCAGTGCACATGCATTAGCCTTATCCAATGGATTAATGCTGTGAAGGTGGACTGTCTTAGCCCTCCACATATGTCAGCACAGGGAAAGATCTACACAGCTCTCCAGGTGCTCCCTGCCCAGAGTTCCCCAGACAGACCTACAGCAAATTCTGTGAGCTCAGTGGGACAGCTGCACCTGCCTGAGACACACAGAGAGCTAACCTCAGTGGGTTTTCATCCCTTGAAGCAAGGCTGCCACGAAGACCACACTAGCAAGTTTAAAACTAGCTCCAGCATACAAACATAGCACTGAAATCACTTATAGAATTGCTGCTATAGAAAACTGGACTAAAATAATCAGCAAGGGATACAGCCTCCCCTGGCAAACTGCATTCAGTTGTTTACCAAAGTTTAAAGACCCACCAGAAAGAGAAGACACAGACAGTCAGCTTGATATCAAACCCCCTAGACAGTTTGGATTGAAGAGAGACAGAGAAGCCAATCTTAGAAAAGGAGCTATCTCTAGAATAATATGTAACAGAGAACATAAAGCCAGGCCCCTTATTTCCTCTTGTGGCTGAGAACACAAGGATAGATGTTACTTAATGAAAACAAAAGGCAATTACTTCAGGAAGCACAAAAAGAAATTATGTGCTATGGAGAATAAAATTATAATGGTTTACATTGACAGAAAATACTGGGATTGAGAGCTTAGATTAAAACTAAAAAATTTAAACATTTATATGGAAGATGAAGGCTGGTTACATTAAATAGTTTTTACAAGTTAGGGATATAAACTCTTACACTTCAGGAAAAAAAAAAAAGAATGACAAAAGAACAGTGCAGTGTTTGTACAGCACCTAAAGGATCAAGTATTTGTACTTCCATTTTTAATGACGATAATAGTAATGCAAGTAATTAATTTAAATGGGTCAAGAACAAAATTCCCCAAAGGAAAGGTTGTTAAAACTTGTTCAGCACAACTCATACATATTATTCTTTGAAATATCTGCTGTTGTTCAACATTACAAAATACAGTCCTTGGGTGACTGAGTGCCATTCATCCAACCAGGCAGTTCCAGTAAGCCTCAGTGGCAAAGCACATGAGTTTGGTTTGGGCCACAGTCCCAGGTTAAACAGTGAAGAGCAACAGCTGTGTCCTGAAACAGGCCAGGTCAATGTAGGAGAGTACTGCTAGGCTCACCTACAGCACCAGTAAGGGATAGAAGCAGACAAAGGAGATTGGATACTTCCTCCCTCCTCCTGGCTCATGCAGGACTCAAAGGGTGTTAATTACAAGGATTCTCACAGCTTTCATAGTGACAAGGTCTAGGAGAAAGAAATATTTTTAACTAGAACATGGGAATTTCAGAAGACAATGCCAGGCCCACATCTCACTTACATTAAATGGTAATTTATGCTAACTCCTGAATGGCCACTTGCTAAGTAAGCTTAGGGAAATAACCTCACAGCGTCATCCTTCGGGTGTTTCTATGCTTGTTGGGGTTAAAGTGAAAGATCAAACCAGGTTAAACTAGAGATGTCCCAGCACCCAAGGCACAGAAACTCCATTTGAGTTGCTGTAGCATGCTGGCTCAGGGGAAGCTGAAGGTAAAAGTCAAATCCCTCCATGTTTCCCAGACAGGTACTGCTCCTGCCAGTGTAGAACTTGGCATTTCATCTCCCACAAGGTGAGAGGTCTGTGACATAATTGCCCTCGGTCCTCTTGGCATTTTAATTCCTGGGAGATAGGAGCAGTCTGCAGCTTGCTCCTCTGCCAGGAGCCATAGGACAGCACGGCCCATGTGGAGCCAAGCACAGTGCTGCCAAAGGATCAAATCTGGCATTTTAAACAGGGTTATCAGCACAAAGCTGTGCTGAAGACATTCAGCAGCTCAAGAAGAGGCACAAACAGATCAGGTTTGTCTCAAAGGCCAGTTTGCAGGTGTTCTGACATTGAATATTTCAAAGATATTCAAATTCTTCATTAAAATAAAGTTTGCAAGCAGGATTTTAGAACAGTCCATTGCAACACTAGTAGTCCAACTATCCTATAATACCTGGAAAGGGTAAATGAAACTGGTTTAGTTTAGCCTTCACACACAAAAATCAGCCACCCAGTCAGGTCAGCACCTCTACATTAAGCTAATTTATAGAAGACAAATTAAAGCTTTAGGAAATCACTACTTCTTGAACACAAGGCAATTTCTGTCACCATATGCCCTGTAATATGACATTGCTAATCCACAGACTGTGCTCTGACTTCTGTTCTTGCATTGGTAATACCCAGATATACCTCGATGCCCTGAGTGCAAACCTTCCAGACAGAAGGTCAGTGCCTGACCCAATTGCTGCCTACCCAAAACATGCACATCTGGCACAAGTTCCACATGTCCCATCCTGTATTAATCCTCCACATTCAAGCCCTTGGTTATACATCAAAGCTTTTTGCTCCTCCTCCTACACAGACCTGTCTCCTCTCTGCCTTATCTGTACACAGTGAGAAAATGCTGCACTGCACAACTATTAAGGCACTTAGCCCTTCTGTCTACTTACATTTTTTTACTATTCAAGAATAATATATTAATTTTAAAAAGTGCTTAAGGCGCAAGAGGGAAGTCTGTTCATTTGTTTGGATAAGACAGAAGGAAGAAACTGTAATATTCAATAACCCCTGCTTTCTCTCAGCATTGTATCTGTTCAGGCTGAGAACTGCAGCTTGATGACAGTCCTTGCATACCCTCAAGTTAATCCAGTTTACTCCCACTGAGAGGAATGAAAAGAGAAAGAGTGCAAAGAAGAGAAAAAAGGAAGCATGGCCCAGAGGTTTCAAGAATAGGACATACTTCACAAAAGTGGGAAGCTGCTTTGCAGCACACTTACTGTTTTTCACAAGGAGTGAGTAATTTGCTTGAGGTGTATCTATGCCCCAGGAATATTTCCATGTTTCATGGAAAACTGTGAACACAGAAATACTAAAGACTAGCAGCACAAACAAAGGGCAGCTAAAAACTATGATGAATAAGGGACCAGTAGGAAGTCCCCACAGTGCTGTTAAAGCATGATTCAACACCTGAATATTTGAGATTAACATTACATTTGGATTTAAGAAAAATGACAAGTCTATTCAGCCACTTGAGGTCAGATTTTTAAGTTCTTCATAGTAATCACAAGGGCAAGAAAGCTACTGCCTCTCACACCAACAACGGATTCTAGAAGATGCTACTTAGGGGAAGCAAAAAAAAGTCCAACCACACACACAAACTACTATAGCAAAAAAGCAGCAATAAAATCACAGCATCTGGCAGATGGAAATGTGTGACAAAGGATTACAGCAGGAGGGACAAGCATCTCTTAGTCTAGGCAGACACTTGAAAGGGATCCTATGGGAGCAGACCTACTATTCAGAAGAGAAAAGGTTCCCCCTAGAGACATATCAGGGAAGCTAAAAAACCCAACTGTTAGCCTATTCCTCAACTCAGGTCAAATCTTCTGATTCCTGGAACTGAAAAGAGCTGTTATGAAGAAAAAAAACCAAAAAAAACAAAAAAAAAAAAAAAACCAAAAAACTGAAGATTTCCACTATGCCTACACCTGGTGCCATCTTCCAAGCATCTCACCTCTCCTTGCAATATGTTTCAACTTTCCAAACATACAACCATGATGTGTGCCAGGGCAAAGGAATAAGTGTGATTGCATTAAAGGATTCTGGTATTTAGAGGAACGTGTACTTATCATTGTTACCACTGTGCACCTGCTTTCTCTGCTTACAGATTACAGACTAAAGTGAAACCAAAGACTTTAAAGAATTGGTCATAACTGTTTTCCTTCCAGTTCCACATTAAAATCTTTTGCCAATGTTCAATGACAAAATAAATCTCCATCAGTCACAGGCCAAAAGCCACAGCCTTCTCCTACTGCAGGGCCAAAGGACCATATGCTGAAATTCCAAGAGCTCAGTCATTTTCATTTTAGCTTGGTCACTTTCTTGATCCAGGGTACGAATTTGCTGACCTTTGTGTACACACCGGGTGAATCCTTCCGACCACAGCCATACCCCCAGGAAGTGATGCCCAAAATGATCCAGCGTCCATTTGATCTCTGACACATGAGTGGCCCTCCACTGTCACCCTGACAGCTGTCCACCCGTTTATCTTCAGAGAGGTTCCCAGCACAAATCATGCGGTTGGTGAACTTCTGCCCGTAACGGGCCTCACAGTCTTCCCGCGGGAGAAGGGGCACCACCCCCTGCAGCAGGGTTCTGGAATAGGATTTCCCTGGAATAAAACAGACCAACCAGACTGATTCACATACAGGCAACAGTAGCAACCTGGTGCAACAATGCTCCCTAAAAAAACAGACACTTAAACATTTCATGTCAAGTCTGCAGCACAGAAATAGGCTGAGGTCAGCATCTCTGAAACCACAAGAACTTCAGAAAACAGTGATGCCAAGCCAGACCACAAAAAAAGAGCTGTAAGATCAAAGATATGAGGAAGAGGATTGTAGAAAAAGGTTAGATCAAAGGATGAGTCTTACTTCTGATTCTGTCAACAAGTAACATGAACCTTGTTCAATTTACTCACCTTTCCAAATCTCAGTTTCCTCCTCAAGAGGAAAGAAAAGACAGTATTTTCTCAAGAAAATAAATGCAGTAGTATCTGTTAAGTGCTCAATACTCAGAGAAGTTTTAGAAGATGCTTCAGAGGCATTCAAATACTATTCAAAGGGAATTCCCTTCATCTTTGGCCAGACTTGAGTCTATTTGATCACATCTCTTTACTAGCCCAGGGTTGCCCAGAACATGAGGCTAATGTGCTATATTAGAGTATGACCTTTCTGTGCCCAAGGTTTATGTAAGTTCACAAGGTAGTAGGTAACTGCTCCTCATTAAAAAAGCTGGGTTTGGTGCGTGGGAAGGATTCTAGCCATTAAGCTCCAGTACAGCTTAAGGTAGTTATATGGCTAAGTTGCTCCTTGATCCACCCCAAATATCCTGAATTGACACGTGCAACTGGCACAACTGGACTCCAAAGGCAAATACGTACTTGCAGTTAAAAAGCTGTGGTAATAGCTAAGGAAACAGCTGAGAGGGACGGGCAAGTCCAAAACCAACAGATGAGCTTCTGGGGCTTTTGGCAGGAAGTCTTTCTGAACATGTGGCTTTTTTCCAGTCATAGCTGCCCCAGAAAGGCCTCCATGCACCCTTTTACCTATGAAGCTTCACAGGAATATGTTCAAAGAGGATAGATCCAGGCTGTCTTGAACCCAGGGCAGAAACCAGACTCAAGAGTCCATCTGTCCTTGCAGAAATACACAGGGAGATTAAGCAAGGTAGTCCAAGAGAGATTTCTCACTGAGGGCTCCTTCTACCTCTAAGCCCTCACTTCACTATGACAGTACCATGAAGAAGGCAGGTCATGGAAACATGGGGGCCTCCCACAGGCTTGGGAGCAGCTCTGCACAGGCTGCTCCCTTAGGGGTCTACTGTGGGCAAACACATGTGTAGAAATGGGAAGAGAGGACTGTGGCCAGATGGCAGCATTGGTCTCTCTCACAGCTTCGGAGGGATTCTGTGGAAACCAAAGCTTTCACCAATATTAAGCAGGCTCAATAAGCCTCAAAATCAGATGAAAACACAATAGCACAAAACCCACTCATCTTCCTATTCCTTAGCACTGTGCACTGGCACAGACAATGGGAGCAGTGAGAACATAGCCTTGAATTGACATAAATTAATGGTCCATGTAGGCTTCTGAAGGCAGACTTCCTCACCTCTCTTGTCTCAAAGCCCCACCACTCACCTGTGTCTCCCCAGCCAGAGATGATGCAGGCTTGCCTGTTGATGTCAGACCTCTCTCTCCTGTCAGGCAGGCAGATGGGCAGAACGTGGTGATTGAAGGAGAGACAGTGCCCTTCTCTGCCCCGCATCCGGACCAGGGCTATGTCATTATCATTGCTGCCAGCCCAGTAGTTTCTGTGGAGGACAATCCTCTCCACAGGCAGCTCCCTCTCAAACTCATCCTTCACACCTGTGTGGTAATCGCCCACTCGCAGGAGGTAGCGCCGCACATCAACACCAAACCTAGAGAGAAACAGACTCAAGATTTCAATGTTCCTACTAAGAGGAATGCAGACTCACACAAGTCTCAGTTACTATGAAACTGAACCACCTTCTCACACCACAGTGGTAAAACAGTTCGAGCTGCAGGACTGTGGGACCTCATTAGTAGATATAATCATGCCAGCTGTTGCAAATTTGGTGTGCCAAATCACTATTTACCAGACACAGGATTTTTTTTTCCTATAAAAATTATTATTATAGTTGCAACAGGCTTGTGAACTGACCTGTTCACAGTTCCTTAAAGCACTTAAAATGTCAAAATGCTGGTTCCCTTTACACTGTAAAGCCTCAGAGTTAAGAGGCCAGGTGTAAGCAGTGAAGGAAAAAGCAAGTCTGTATTTAGTTATCCCCATAAGCACTCCAAGATCACACACATCATAACCTGAAGGTCTTAGTTTAGGAACTTTGTTCATGTAGTTCCACTGGGCTAGGAGGATAAACTTGTATGAGGTTATCTTGTCCATCATTAAACATCCCTTGGGGCTCCCCAGTCCCAAACACACCTTTTGAAGCAGTGGGCTGCAGTCACCACCCAGCAGCTGCTGATCAGTGTTGCTCCGCACAGCAGACGAGTGTCTCGACGAAAACCCTTCAGCCGCAGTGAGGCCTGCCATGGCCAACTGCCCCTGAAGAACAAACAGGAATAAGCGGTCTCACACATGTGGCAGCCATTTTCCTTTTTTCCCATCCACTCTGTCTCATCTGAGCTTAGCTGGCTTGCATTCTTTCCCAGATACTGGTTCAAACCAAGTTCAAAAATCACCAGTGAAAATGCATTAATGTAGTCAGCATCTGCCAGACTATTTCCTTAGCCTGAAGGAAAGCTGGAACCAGTCTGACTCAGCAATTACAGGGTGGTACCTCAGAGACTTGTTTCCACCTATGATCCTTTTCTTGCGACGGTGGAGCAAGCGCATCCCACACACACCAGACTCTGGACCTGCATGGCAAAGTTAGAGCAGTTGGGTAGAGACCTTCACCTTAAGTATCAGCATTGCTATCACAGAGCCAAATACCATTCAGCTTCTCTGAGGGCATTAATCCTCAAGGTAATCAACTATATTGTGTTGTGAATGTGGAATTCACAGAACATTTGATCCCATAGGTTTCCTTAATTTCACTGGAGGTGCTTACCTGAACTCTCTATAATCTCACACCAAGAGTGGGACCTATACTTATACTTCCTCAGTACTTTAAACCTCTAAGGTTGCTTATGGGTGCTGTTTTACAGAAGAGTATAGTGACTTGGCTGTGGGGAAATTCTTCAGGCTCAAAGGCCTGATATGGGTGGAGCTCCTCAGACTAATTTGGAACACTCTGTGCTGCTAAGAAGATACACTGAATACAAGAAAAATATAGGAGGCGCAGGACAGGACATGCTTATTTTGTAGGCGAAGTTTCAGCCGAAGACAAGAATGACAGGGAAAAACCACAAAAGCATGCAGAGATCCTACAACCAGAGCTCCATATTCCTGCATAGAAGAAACGGGAATGTCACCTGTTCTCCTGATATCTTGGACCTTTTCTTCCACATAGTCACAGATCACCCCAGCATCCTCACTGTGCCAGCAGCTGTGAATCCTGGTGTCAGGCGTGGCACATTGCCCCAGGGCGTGCTCCATGCCACTGCATTCTATGTTTTCCAGATGGATGGGCCCATGGCCTTCGCCAAAATAAGCCATTGACCTGGCTTTTGCTGTACCACTGCAATCAGAGAAAGGGTGGCTAATCTGCAATGAGCAGGAGCCAAGTGAACCTGAGGCACCAGTGCATTTTAAGTGGAATAATATTTATGTGTCACTCCACACATAGACAGTAGTAGAGTGAGAAGAGCAACCTACTCACTCAAGCATATCTGGGCGTGCCAAAACTAACATTAAGCCCCCAGAAACAAGTCCAGAAGTGCTCCCGATAGCTGTTTCTATCTGTAAGATGCCTGTACCACAGCTCTTACCTGAATCCCAGTTGCCTGCAAACCACAGTGGCATCTCTGTCTGTCCAGTCATCGTCACAGACACTGCCCCACTGCCCATTCAGCAGTACCTCAACCCGGCCCTCCTTGGCGCTTTCTCCATCCACCAGCCGCACAGGAGGCCCTGAAGGAGAAAACACATGGGCTGCTGCAAGCAAAATAACCAGAAGGGTCAGGTGTCCAAAACTTGGGTTCTACAGAACAAGATGAATCCCAGCCATCAGTAAGCTTAAAACAAAAAGAAAAAAAAGGAAAAAATAAAAATAAAATAAAAGAAAGAAGTGTGTTTATATGAAGACATTTTACCTCTGTGCTGAATGAGAAGACTATATACATACTAATTTATTTAATATATACTAGAAATCATTAGTGGATCATACTCTGAACGCTGGGTAAAGAGAAGAACAAGAATAGAAAGTTATTAACTCCTAAGGCAAAAGTTAGACAACCTTAAACATGCCTGGGGAAAAAAATCAATTTAATTGCAAAACTATTACATGATTCTAAGTAAGAGAAGAGTTCTACATCCAGGAAAAACAAAAATGTTGGATGCCAACTATTTCAACAGCAAATATCTGACAAACTGGAAAGTCTCCTGTAGTAAGGAAAGGGGAGAGTATCAGGCATTTGTATAAATGAGGAAATTATGCTAACTTTAAATATTTTCACAGTTTTAATTAGAAGTGTGCCATCCACACAAGAGAGTACAAACAGTAACCCCTTCCATCTGAAATCCTCCTGTCTTGGCAAGGTGTGGCACTAATGTAACAACACCTAAGTTTCCTGAAAGGTCTAGTTAAAGTGTTCCCTTGAGCAACGGCCCAATAAGGCAGCCACTGTCCCTCAGTCCCTGAGGTTTGTTTCAGAGACCAGTTCCCATTTATCTGCTGGTCTGATAGTAGGTCTGGTGGAGCCACAGATATGTGGCTCTGTCCCAATTCAGCCAGGGCTCATTCCTACTAAAAAAGCAGACCCCTTGTTGAAACAGCACAGGGAAAACTCCCACTTCTGCCAGAGCTTCCAAGGAAACAGACCAGAAGGTGAAACTTTCCCACTGTTCAGAGCAAGAGCACTGTGAGTTACCCAGGCTGCCATCCATGACCGTGTTGCTTTCTGGGGAACAGCGGACTCCCAGATCCTCAACATGGGAACAGTCATGCTGCCCCCAGTTGCTGTGGGGACAGTCCAGGAGAGACAGCTCTGTCCCTACACATGCCACGTCATCCAGTAAGATGAAGCCTTGGCCAGAAGCATAGTCTCCTTCAGAAGCCAGGGCAGCAGGACCACTAGAGGAAGGACAGAAAATAACATTGAAACTCTAAATGCCATACAAGGACCCAAGCTCAGATCCAAGGAGAAACTCCCCTGCTTAACTGTGGTACTGGTGGCCTCCTGGCCTAAACTATTCAGTGGATACACAGGATGGCAACCAAGCACCCTCACGTCTCACCAGCTTCAGTTTTCAGGGAGGCCTCCTCAGACCAGTCAATTTTCTGGTATTTGGTCAAAGGCACGTTCAAAGGCACAGAGGGCCAGCAGAGGCTGCTTTGCAGTTATGGCAGGTACATCAATTTAGGGAGGGGCTGGTAGAGGAGGCATCATAAATGTCGACATTTAAGTAATTCTACTTCTTTTTATAGGAAACAGCTACTGGAATTGAACTGCAGAAAGCTGCAAACTTAGGCACTAAAAGAGATGACAAGTGTAGTATGTAGCTGAACTCAAAGAATTTAGTTTAGTCTTTCTTTCATCTATAAAATGGAAATTGTAGAAGGAGAACCCAATCATGTTTAAAAAATCCACATAACCCCATATTACTAGCTCAAAGGCAAGAGTATCCTGATTTTAAATCTTTCCCAACTCCTACTTGAAGGGATGACAGCTCAGCAATGGGTTGAAAATCCCTATTACTACTCTTTTTTGCCCTGATGATCTTTGTTCAGCTACTGAAGGTGATACATTTGGAGCAGATAGGTATGATTTTACTGAAAGAGTAGAAATGACATCTGCAAATTTAAGGAGCATTAAAGACAATTCTCTTTGCTGAGGGGTTCATAAGGACAGTATTAAGCCTGTTATCTGCTTTCAAAACAGGCTGAGGCAAGAGATAATAGATTTATTTTGCCCCTTGGAAAGGATGTGGACACCTATTAATCTTTCCTTAATAAGTTGTATAATGGTAATAAGCCTTCTAACAAAGACAGCATTGAAGGATTAAAATCCGGCCTATCCCAGTGAAGGGTGATGGAGTTTAATCCTTGAAATCAGGAAGCACAGACACTACACACTCTCAGTCCTACCTGAAGCCCAACTGCCTGCAGACCACTTGGGCACCGAGGTCTGTCCAGCCATCGTCGCACACTGTGCCCCAGTCTCCATTGTAGTAAACTTCCACCCTGCCTTCGCTGGGGCTGCGGCCACCAGCCAGCCGGACCATGCCCTCTGCAAGGGGTGGGAGAAGGAAAGGGCCAGCACTCAGCAGGGGAGAAAAGAAACAGCCTGTGCACCACTGCTAGGTCTCTGTACCACCCATCAGTGAAAGAAACAAAAGATACAGATGTCTGTGGGTACTCAAAATACAAGTGTTCATAGCTTCCAAACATACCCATCTGTCAGGGAGGATTGGCTTCAGCCTTTCCACACTACCTGAGCAAAACCTTGGGAACACCACCAAGTCTGCCTCTGCTCTGCTCTCTGCCTCCACATCTGACAGCCCTTGTGGGAGCTGTATATGGAAGCTGTGCAGGATCCTGAACCAGGGGGTTACCTGCTGAGCAAGCCAAGTAATGTGGGGGCGAGACCGACCGCATCTGACTGGCAGAGCTGTACCTGTGAAAGGGTCACAGGACACCCCAGCGTCTTCAATGTGGTCACAGTTTTGCTGTCCCCAGTCACTCTTCTTGCACTGATCGAGGGAGAGTTCATTCCCTGAGCACTGCACTTCATCCAGCAGGATTGGGCCAGATCCCTGCCCATAGTGAGCCCATGACAAGGCTTTTGGCGTCCCACTGTAAACATAACAGACATGTATGCTCAGTAAGGAAGGCCACAGTCTTGTGTTCTCAGATTCTGCCTTGCACAGGGATTGTCCTATGCTGGGTCACTGTCCTCCCATAGATCATCTGTATTTTTGACACAGTGGAGTTGCCAACTGTTAATTAAAATATGTTATTGTAAAGTTTGTAATGAGCCCTTCCAGAAAATAACACAAATGTTACTACAATACAAAGTCCAGACTTCTGCAGACAATGACATAACATCAGTCTCAGTTACAATCTCATATCAGGCAAAATTCCTAAAGATTGAAGGGTCTCAAATTTGAACAATCTATTTTAAATAGATGTGATTTTCAAGAATGCTTAGCATACAACAGCTCCCATGTTAAACATTGAATGGCACACAGAAAAATGAGGTGATCTCTCTTGCTTTCCTGTCTGAAGAGGATAAGGGCAGCCAGTGAAACTAGAGGTGTTTAAACTTAAGCAAGTAAGCAACTGCAGTTCACATATGGAAATCACTATGACAACTTGTCATTGAGGCTACCAAGATTTGTATTAGGACGTGTACAAAAATGATGAACAGTAAACACAACAATCCTGAGACAGGAGTGTACCTTTTTTTTTTTTTTACACAGCACAAACCCATAAAATTGACAAGAATGGGGTACAAACTCCCTTCATAGGATGATCAGTCCAGAATTGTTTCCCAGGGTTTCTGTATATCTCCTATAGATAGTATAGTGAAGGGACACGTTCTCATGTTTTTCATTCTGCCTACTTCTATTACTACTCCGTGACATACAGCAAGGAAATTACCTGAGTCCCAGCTGTCTACAGACTACTTCAGCATCCCGGTCGTCCCACTGATCATCACAGATGGTTCCCCACTTGCCATCATGGTAAACCTCCACTCGCCCTTCAAAGCTCTCCTTCCCCCCAACTATACGAAGTGGGGCACCTACACCTGTGCTTCAAGAAAGGGAAAGAGAGCACAACAGAACAAGAAGAGACAAAGCACATCCAGAAGTTTAGGGTATAGAATAATTCTCTAGCCAGAGGAGCTCTTGTGATACTCTCTTACCACATCTTCCTTTCTAGACCCCCCCCTAAAAAGTACTTGTGATTGCAGCCCCCAGAGTGGGGTACTGCTGGGCCAGAGATGCCTCTTTAATTGGCTGTTATGGTGACCAGGAGTTTTCTGCCTGCAGACAAAAACCTGGCTTGATAAAAAGGGGATATGGTCATAAGTATCAGTCATCTTTGGGAGATTGAGATCTTTCCCTGGAGATTTACCTTGTGGAGGAACACAAGTTACCACAGCACTCCCCTGGTTACAAGATCCTGACAGAGCTTCCTGATAGCCACATTGCAGCAGGGCTTCCTCATCTCCATGGCAGTTTGCTGACTGCAGGTGCAGGGGAACAGGCCATGGTCTGGAATGACTCTTCTTCCCAGCTGTGCCGATCTCACTGGTACAGAGGATGCAACAGAGCAATGAAATGCCACAGCATGGCTTCACTTACAGGTTCCCTCCGTTGTCGTGACTCTCCAGTCCAGTTGTGGCATTTCACATCCCGGTGTGCCCAGTTAATTGGAAGTGCATAAAGGGGTGACCATTTACAGGCTAATGGGAAAGCACAAGCAAGTACACAACACTTCCTAATCCTTTTATGTGCCCACCTACTGTAGAGGAGTTGGCGCATTCAGAAATGGCCCCCTCGTTTGAAAGCAATGAACAAATCCATCAATAGACTCAAACACCAAACTATCTGAATCACCTTCCCTATCTGTGGACCTTATCTCCTTGCTATTTTGAAGCTTGAATGTCCAAGTCCCAGATACCCAAAGAGAGTTCCTACTCCTAAAATTTCTGTTAGATCACTATAGTAACTCCAGCTGATGATCATAAAAAGTGAATGTCATCTCACAGCTCACTTTCCACAATCAGGAGCATGAAGCAGAAACTATTGTTTTAAAAAATTCTTGCAAATGCTGATTGGTTGGGGATAGCCACAGAAAGAAAATCGTGCAAAAGGACCTTGGTTAGTGGGACATTAGACCACAAAACAAATTCCTTTCTGCCAGCTAACACACTCTGACAGAGGGACTGCAACCACAGGGGCTGCTCTTTCAAAAGCCACACGAGCAGGTACCTCTCACAACCAGACTAAGGTTCCCACCTGAGACCTAGTTGCCTGCAGACAACACTGGCATCCCAGTCAGTCCAGTGGTCAGCACAGATGGTACCCCAGAGTCCATTGAAGTACAGCTCCACACTACTGTCTTCAGCCAACCGCACAGCACCTTCCGAAATAGAAAAAAATCAACCTAAAACCAGCTGCTATCTGCTGATAGAAGTTTCAGACCACCAAGTCTTGGACTTTGCATGTAGCTAAGCTGAACTGCACTTGGCTTCTTTCATCCCTGTTTTACCTATGCTGGCACTAAAGTGATGTGCATGAAAGAGTGTGGTATATGGCACCTTCCCAGTCCCAGCAATGTCTGCTTGGGAGGATGGTTGGTGTTATGGTCTTTTCAAATCCATTGTAACACCAGTAGGAAATTTGGCTTCTGCAAAAGCTCCTGGATTCTCCTTCTGTGGAATGGGGATGATTTTACATGCTATCTTGAAAGGGTGTGTGAAAATCTATCTAATTACTTCTGACACTCCACTGATCTATTTCCATCAATCACTTCACCTGCATGACTGTTGCTATAGTGAGAGTAACAGCAGATGAATCCTCTTTAATTTCTCTAAGAAAAGGAAGTACCAGTGTAAATACCCTTTCAATTCCCACCCCACCAAAAATGTTACCCCTGTTTAGAAAGCACAATCTCCTCACTCAGTTATGTACTTGTACAAGGACACACCTGTCTGCAGTACCTCAGTGCAGGCACACAGCACCACTACACTTATATTCTTCCCTTTAATGAAGCCATCTTTGAAAGCACATCCACTGGCAAGGGAAAAGACTGTCAATTCATTTATTAAACTGGTGTTTCAACTGTTCTGCAAAATGCAGGGAAAGCAAGGAAGGTCAGAAAACAGGACATTTTCAAGAATGCTGCACAGCAGCCAATGCATTGAGAGAACTCAGCACCTTGCTTGCCTCAAAGTAAACAGTAGTCCTTCTGCCAGCACTGAGGAAGTTTAACACAAGCCTATGACCTGCCTTGCCACAGAGGATTTTATATTGAAGAAGTTTATATTTGAACTGCTACACTTACATGAGGAGTGCTCTGACATGGACTCTAAAGGAGCAGAAGTGGGTTGTTTTCTACATAACTGAAACTGTCTTCAAAGTGGCATAAGTTAGCAGTAGAAAAAAAGTAGTCTCCTTGTATGAGAATAAAACATCTATACAAGGCATTACAGCTACAGCAGCTTAAATCCACCCCCTACTATATACAGACGTTCTTCTCCCACACAGGCTAGCCTCTAGCATTAATTATTTCAACAATTTGGATCAGCCTTTGTGCTGTACTTTTTCCACAGGGTGTTCCACCTGCCACTTGCAAGTCTGTGCAACACACGTTTCTGGCTTGAGCCCTGAAGCAGCACAGCCCTTACCTTGGTTGCAGTCACAGTTGGCCCAGCCAATGGCTCCTGACACAAGCCTGTAGAAGCACCAGGGCGTTGTTCCCCCGTCTGGGTTCCTGCAGAAGTTGTGGTCCCCCAGGCCACGGTCCGGGTACTGCTGAATATAATCAGGGAACTCTGCCCAGTTGAGACACTCTGCCCCGGCCTCGGTGACTGCCAGTGAGCCGTTGTAGTACCCGAGAGGTCCCACAGCACAGACACTGGGCACTGGGAACAGGAAGGGAGGGTTAGCATCACCCAAGGCATCACACACTGAAGCTTGGACACCAGCTGCTTATGAGAGATACCCCTTGTGTCTGCAGTCTCAGCTGCTGCTTGCTTGATTCAAACTCTTATCACTCTTCAAGGTGCTGCTCAAAGAATATTCATAATACTCACTGTCTAAACCACAAATTGATCTGAAGCAATGAACTGCCCAGATGGACCTTTGAAGAGTGTTAACTTAGGGCCCAAACATGATCATTTGAACTGGTTCCCATTACTGTACATGCAATACATGTACTCACTTTGGAGCAGAACTGTACAAAGCAGGAAGGTGGGAAATGGCACTGTATCTCATAGCATGTATGTTCCCTATAGACATGAGCAGATCACCTGGCTTCTCTGAACCTGGTTAATATATTGGAAGGGAAAGGGAATATATTTTGCAGGAAGTGCAAGTGCCAACATTTCAGTTCCCATGTGAAATATCCAGTGTAAAAATACCCAATAATTAATTAATTTATTATGGTCCTCAACAAAGGAGAAAACTCTCAATTCATGGCACTGAAATAACAAAGTGAGAAAAACCCACCCAGGTTTTGTGGCCTTTATAGAGTCCATAACATGAGAAGAGTAGACTGAGAAAGGGATATTTACAGCTCTATTCACAAAGTAAATGGAAAGAAGCCAACACTTTCAGAAAACCCTTCTGCACCAGGGGCAAAGAGCAAGGGTACAAGGTAACTTTGCATCATGTCATTTGCCTTCTAGCCACTGCCAGGCCCAGAGGGGGTAAGTGACAGCAAGGTCAAATGCAAGGTACAAAAATGAGAAGCAGTTGGAAGTCAGTTCCAAGCATTTGGAAAACAAATCATATGTGTGGCATCAACTGGGACCCTCAGAGAGGGTGTCTGAGAATTCATTAGTTATTAGAGCAGAGGAAAGGTAAGCATGCAAAAAAGACCAAGGCAAAGAAAGAGATTAAAGAAAAGAACATGTGGAAGGAGCAGGGAGCTGCAAGAGCATTCAACATGAAGGAACAGAAGTGGCCATGAACGAGATAAACAGGCACTGGGACAAGAGAAAAGATTGAAGAAGTGATGAAAGAAAGGAAGAAGGCCAGGTAGCAGTCATGCCTATGGTCTCAGATCACCACTGGAGGAAAGAGTCTGCCCAATGATTGAATTAATAACTTCTTGTTCTTACCTGCACTGTGCAAATGGTTTTGGTTGGGCTTGGATCCCAGGAAAGCCTGGGAAAAGAAACAGAGCAAAAGCAGAGAGATGATTATCCAATGAAATAAACATGGGCATGTCCTAAAAGCAGCTCAGCTTTAGGCAAACACACCCTAGTAACCAGCCTCTTCCCTGGTCTCCCCATTGCTCCCCTTCAAATACAACCATAGCTCTGTCCACTAACAACAAAATGAATAATTACTGGTCTGCAGAGATTTGCCCTTGATCTAAGCACTACATTACTGAACTCTGCTTGTTTTTTTTCCAAAATATTTGGAAGTCTGAGTGATATGCCTATGGAAAGGAAATCTAGATGAAAATCATTATTTTCAGTAAGAAAAATAATAACTACTCATTCTCTCACTGTTTATAGGGCAAGTAATCTACAGCTATAGTAGCAGATATTTATCTACTTGAGTGACAGGATGATGCCCCCAGAATACCTCTTAAAATGGTAATAAACATCCACGTATAAAGTGGCAAACACCCAAGGAAGAAAATCCAAGGCCTTTTGAGGATGTTGTTTTTAATACTTGAAAATATGATATGGCCTATGGTGTTATTATCTCAATTGTATTTCCTCTTATAGGCAGGTTTGTTTTTTTATTTTTGTGGCTGTAATGTGACTATAGGCTGAGAGATAGAGATCTCCACTCAACATCACTACATGGTGTGCAAGCAAGTGCAAGACCTTCACAGACTCAGAGTGAAAAGAAGAAACTGTACATGTTTATGCTAGCTCCTTGTAATTTAGTTAGTTTTTAAACATTGTAAATGAACATTTCTAATACTTTTATATGAAGAAATAGTTGTAATTCACAGAGCAGAGATGTGCAGCTAAAGGATAGTAGCTATTGGTAGTGGTTGTGGTTTTCTTCAAAATGCAGTAATTTTGCCTCTCTCAGCTTCACCTCTTCCTGGAAAATAGGAGAAGTTAAATTTGGAATTAAACCAAATCCACTTCTGGAATGAGTAGAGGTAATTCCCACAGAAACCTGACAAGAACAACACTTATTCATGTCAGATAAAAATTTTAAATAAAGCTTATGAACATGATCCAGAAGGTGCTGACAACAATGGCCAAGCTCTAGCATCACCTCCCAGAAGTCAGAATGGGATATGGAACATGAATTCCTGACATGGATCAGTAGTAACAGATCAGATCTCAGGTTTATATGCACAAAAGGATACACAGATAAACCCTTTTCAGGCAAAAAAATAATCTATCTGCACGTAACAGCTGTTGCAAGCCCACATAAGGGTTTCTGGACCAACAACACTGAAGGATCTCAAAGCTCTTTGCAGAGAGTAGAAAGTGAGCTAAGCTGTACTTTTGTGACTGCACCACAATCCAGGTCCCTCAATCCCTAGCTTTTAGTGCACACCTGCAGACACATGTAAGCCTGCCAGTGATATAAGGATGGGTCAGACTAGTAATAGGAGATAGATGAGAGACTGAGCTCTTCTTGGACCATAAACAAAAGTACTGCAGTCCAAGTAATAAGCTTCCCTTCTAATGAAACATTAGCTGCTGCCAGTTTCTGCAGCAGCTTCTAAAATACCCCAACACTGACCACCACCACCAATTAAATTCAGTGCAAACAGCCGATGCTGCAGGCATTGTCCCAGGTCTGTGCAGCTATAAATCATCTGTCCACAAGCAAGAGAGACAATCAGCAAAGAACAGAAATAAAGGATCTTTCCTGCCAGGGTCATTGCAGTGCCTGAGAAACACTGGAAACCCAAGCCAAAGCATCTGCAAGCCCTTGTGTATCCTGCTTTCCTGGTTTATTTCTTTTTCTGAATTTATATGCACAATGAAACAAATCTCTCCCCAAGCCCCCAGTCCTTCCCAGAGACAACTGCCTAAATGCTCTAGAAAACATATTCAAGTAATAACAATATCCACTTACAGTGAGAATATTAAAAGAACCATATGACTTATTGCAAGCAGATAGAAAAACAACCTTTTCTTACCTCCACACATCTGAGACAAGATAGCAGACTTGAGAGCTCTACCAGGAACCCGAGTATTTTGGAGATTTCCATCCCTCGTGTACAAAGTGAGCAGAAGGTTCTTCATGCATCACATTCTCATTCAGCTGCCAGGGTCTGCTTTCCCACGCTAGCCGCTCCGCACCGGAGGGAGCGGGGTGCCGTTTCCATTTCTACGCAAGGAAAGGGATGTGAGGAAAGCGATCAAAGTTCCTCGCAGCATCTTAGAATTTCACTTTCCCGTTCCTCTCCGCATCTCTTCTCATTGACTCTTCTCTTCAGAAAGGGAAAGAAGAGAGGAGGGAAATAAGGGAACACAACACGTCCCCGAATTTCTCTAGCACACTCGAAGACGAGCGGAGGCGAGCACAAGCGGCGGGGCACAGCCTCAGCCCGCTGTGCCCTCCTCTCCACAGGCTCCCCCGCGCTCCAGGTACGCGCTGCTCCCTGCGCCAGCCTCCGCCTCCCCGCCCCTCCTGCCCAGCGGCGGGGCCAGCCGCCCGCTCCTCTCCTCTCCTCTCCTGAATGCTCCTTCCCCAGCTGCCTTTTCCTCCTCTTCCCAAGGCAGAGGCTGCAGCACGGCAAGGAGCTGGGGCTGCGTCCTATTGCAAAGCCCCCAGCAACAGCTGGGAAAGGCAACGGCGTGTGCGCGCACATTTGCCAGAGATTAGACTTCTTGGAAGGAATCTGGACTTTATCCCCCCCCACCGCTGCCTCCTCGATTAGCAGCTTGCAGCTTCCCGAGGTCAGCTCTCCTCAGATTTGAACCCAGGTAAATGGGACCCAGAAAACTTTGTTGAGCAGCTTCCAGATCTCTCCTGGAAAACCCACAAGTGACACAGCACTCTCCAGGGTGCTCACAATTTTCAGCCCTGTATCTTGCCATCATGGGTATTCCCACCAGAGAACTTTGCCACTGAGCGTCTCCTTGACCTTGGGCTATATTTTCCCTGAATTGGCTAGGATGCTTTGCATACGGTTAATTATTATTGTATTTCCACGAACAATCCCATCCCATGGGATTGTTGGCCATGAACTTGCTGGTCCTTCATATGAATTAGGGTTCAAGGCTACAAGTTTTAAACACTATTAAATCTAAGAAAACAGTTGGTTCATTTGAAGCTGTTCAGTCTTAGAAATTTTTTTTTTTTTTTTACAGGTTCCTTGTGCTGCTTCTCAGTTCAGTCTAATAGGCATTTCCTATACTCATATTCTGATTTTGGAGCAATGCTCCTGGTGTTCTACAGCATGAAACATAAAGGTCACCTTTAGAAATGAGCTCACTTCTGGCCAAGTCTGCTGAGTAGCACTTCCAAAGACACCTTCAGCATAAAAACAAGGAACAGGCTGCTAAAAATCTACTGACTTGACAAAAAGTCTCTTTTTTTTCACTTTTGCCCATTATTCACTTTATGTAACAGTTTTGTGTTGCCTCATCCTAAGTCACCCATCAAAGGGAAGGAAATTTCCCTACATGCTGGGTCTTTTACAGGAGTTGCTAAGTGGTAAAAAGAAGCTGTTTCTGGAATGGATTTGGCCAAGAATTACACTCAGTTAATTAGGAGCAAATCTCCTATATCCTCATAGTCAGGGAGGCAGACGATCAGGGCAGCAGGGATGGAAATAGCTTAGATGCTACATCAGACTGTAACTCTCAGGCAGCAGCAGCACAAAGAAGCAGCACAAAATAAAAATATGAGACTGTGTTAGACTTTAGAACCACTTACTCCACTGAACACACAAGGAAAGGACATACTGGAAACAGGAACAGAAATTCCATTAGCATTCAGAGAAACTAGCTCCTTACTAGAGGTTGTTGATGCTCATTCAGAACTCCACCCCATGAGACACCACCGTTTCAGGCCTCTGACGCAAAGGGTTTAACACCTCTAGCAGAAGCCTGCACTGGATTTCTCTTTTGGTAACTTCTAAGTTGCCTCCCTGTCAAGGCAGTTTTCCTAAATATAGTGATTTAATAAAGTAATTTTAAAGGAAACACAGACCAGTACACCAAAAGCAATAGAAGTCCAAGCCTGTATTCACTTTCTGGAAGAACAATGAATTGGGAAGATACAGTGGGTTTTGCAGTTGTCTCCTCTCTGACAGGTAGTGTTTTGGAACTACTTCCTCTTTACCAAGACTTCCCTAGTTTTTTGCACACACGTAATGACATTCCTTGAGAGAAGTGGATCTCAGATTCTCAAAGCTTCTCATGACTACTCTCCAAGGTGGAGAGGAAGACCTAAAAGGGAATTATACCAATATAGCTACAGCAGTTTAGATGAGTAATGTATCTACAAATAAGGGAAAACATCCTCAACTTTCTTGTATGGGCAAATTTGAAGTAGTTGTAAATATCTAAATCTGCTATTTAACAGTAGTCACCTTCTCACCCTGATATATGCATAGTTCTATTATAGGAAGTTTATGATTCCCTATAGAGCCTGTCTTGATTTTGCCATATTTTTCTGTACTGACCCTTCTGAACAAGAAATGCCATCTTCTAAAATGTCCTTGTCTCTCTGGAATTCAACCTATTTCTCTTGAACTGGCAAAACAACTATTCATCAGGACCAGCTGAAATATTAATGCTACCTCCACAGTGAAAGCCTAAAAGGAGTAGTTAACAGCAATCATACCCAGAACTGGTATAATAGTCAAGCTATAAGGTACAGGAATAAGATCAAGGAATTCCAGCAGATCTGCTTAAATCCTGTAAATCCGACTTAGGAGGGTAGAACAGCTAGTCAGCTTTTGTTTAAATCTTTCCTCACCACGCAATCACATACAGGTCTCTACAGCAACATTCTTAACCAGTGTGCTGAATAGCAGAACAGAGTTTTCCTTAGCCCCCAGCAACAGCATTGTGGGGTGGTACAAACCCCAACTCAGAAAGAACAGTGCTGTTCCCTGTGGGTACACACATGAACTATTAATGGAGTGATCCTCAATATGAACACATCACCTAGGATAAGCTTAATGGTGAGATACAGGAAAATGGCCAGCAGCTGAAATTGCCAAGGACAATCGGTAACTGAAGGGGTTTTGGTTACAACAACAGAAGCAGAAGAATTGCTCAAGTACTTTTAAAGGAAGCACTGTAAAACCTGGGTGCACCTGAAAAGCATTGCTTCCTTCCTCTCAATAAATAAAAGGACTGGAAAACCTTAGCATAGTAATTTCAAGCTTATAGTAGGTTAGACAAAACCCCAAACAACTGAATTTGTGAAGCTCATCATAAAGCAGTATAATGCAAAAATAGCTGTTCAGATTAGTGGGCGCTGTGCAAAATTTCAAAGTAAAAATAGAAAAAGGTATTAAGTGTCTCTGTTACAGCCTCTTATGTAAGACTGTTTCTCGCAGACACAAGAATTTGGTACATTCAGCACAGGTGCTATCTTAAGAGATGCAGAACACTTTTATTCCAAGTTTTAAAATGAAGAAAAAAATCATCATCAACAGAGGTGAATCAGATTCTCACTCCCAATCTAGCTTTTATCCTCCAGAAACAAAGGAACAGCAAGTAGCATTCTTTTTCACAGTGTCTATTGGACAGAAAATACAGAATGTCACAGAACCAAAGTGTTTTCCCAAACTCAGATGTGGATATTGTGTTCTTACTGACCCCAAGTCTTCTAAAAGACCCAATTATGCCATAATAGCAACATAAGAATAAGCTACCCTGGATTATCCCCTAATGAGCCACAGTAATTAACCACTAAGCAAATGCTGCTTCACTAACTTGAAAACCTTCACCTGACCAAAATTTTTGTGATGAACAGGTATCAGCCTGGGGCTCCAGAGAACTCAGCTCCAGCACACTCTACAGCCACCCATGGGTAATCACAGAGTATGTGCATGCCTGACTCTCCTCTTATTCTGCTTCTTCAACACGCCCAAAAGAATTACCAATATAAACGCTTAGAACATTAGTTCTCCAGGACACTACTGGTCCCAAGAACCTGCCTGTAGTTTTGTGGTACTGCAGTGGAAACTGCCCCCCCAGCCCCCGCCCCCATCAAAACTAAAAATTAATTACAAGAATTCTTGAATTGAAATAATTACATTATTTCAATTATCAGTACATGGTTTAACTGTCTCTCCCCCTTTTAGTTTTTTTACCAAAAAACAATGAAACATTTTGTTGTAGATGAGTTGCCCAAGTCAAACACCAGTCTTGCTTTATTACAGTACAGACAAAATAATCAAACTAATGTGGCACCATACCTGTCCCACCTGCAAATCAGAGGGTCAAAATCACAAACTTCCATACTAAAGTTATATTTGATACTTACCAATGTATTGTGTATTAACAAGGTATTTTGCTGGAGATTTTTTCTACATTTTACAGCCTTTTTTTACAGTAGTGGAAATTTTAAAAATTTCAAAAGGCACCAGATTGTGTATACATCCACATAAGAGTACAAGCCATCATACCATCAATTACTACCATCATTACTAGCAATTCTAACTTGGCTCAGTGTTTGTTGAGCTCAAACACTTATTGATAGCGGCTCCAGAGCTGGACAAGAAGCTTGCATGTGAAGAAGTCGTGCACTGTTAGGAAATGCATTTACATGAATGCCTAGAAGGTTTTATTTAACAGTGAGGACCTGAGTAGGCAAGCTGAACAACACGCTGCAAGACCCATGAGTCTCATGAACAAAATCAGCTGATACTCAAGATGGCTGGTTTTTGCTCTGGAATCAAAAGCAGGGTCAAGATTCACACACCACCTGCATCAAACCATTACTTAAATTGACTTTCCTTTTTTTTGACCAAGACCCCAACTTTAATTGCTTGGCAACAGTCCCTTTTATAAAGTACATTATACATAACGTGTGATCTGAGGAAATCTCTTCAGGAGCTTGTTCACTTTGCTTGAAGGCAAATTTCCCCTGGATGACATGGTGTCCTCATTTTGATTCTTCCGCTCTTTCTGAAAGAGAAAAAATCCAAAATATTTACTGCTGTTTATTTGCAGAGCTGATGCTCATTCCCAGAGACTACTACTAATTGTATGAGGATGTTTCTTTCAGAAAAATGCTGTTTCTTTAAGGAACACTTACCATAGCACTTGACTCAATAACGTAAGGTGATGACCTTAAAATTATGCAATTAATGACTGACATCTTGTGAAGATTATGTCCTTGCATATTCTTAGTTAACAATAATATAAATAACTATTTAAATTATGACACTTACTGAAAGAAAATGTAAATGTAAATGAAACCAGTTTAAGGACAAGTTTAATATATATACTTATCTTTAGTCTATTTGAAAAATTATTTTATTTCAAACTTATCATATAGTATTATTATATGTTAATATATAAAATATAATCAGAAACCCCTAATTTTCAAATAGTATGAAATGTATTTTTCAAAAATGTCTGGCCTTCAAAGTCAGAAACAGGTTGGAAAAGACCTCCAAGATTATTGAGTCCAGCCTTTGATGGCCACCTTGCCAGCTAGACCATGGCACTAACTGACACATCCGTCATTTCCTGAATGCCACCAGGGATGGTGACTCCACCACCTCCCAGGCCAGCCTGTTCCCATGCTTCAGCACCCTTTCAGTGAAAAAGCTCTTCCTGATGTCCAGCCTGAATCTCCCCTGGCACAGCTCAAGGCCATGTCCTCTTGTCACATCACCAGTTGCATGAGAGAAGAGGCTGACCCCCACCTGGCTGCACCCTCCTTCCAGGTAAATGTAAAGAGCAATTAGGTCTCCCAAACCCCAGCTACCTCAGTCCCTCCTTGTAGGAGCCTCTAGATCCTTCACCCATTTCACTGCTGTTAGTTGCTCAAATGGGTCACAATCAAATTTTTCAGAGAAGATTATTCTTAGTGGCACACAAAAAATGACTGGAGGCTTCCTCCTTTCCTATTACTAGCCTTTAAGAACATAAAAAAGGCCTTAATTACTTCTGCCTTTGCCACGCAGTCATAGAACATCCTGATCTCCTCGGCACAAGGCGCGTCGTTGAAGTCATTCTGCTTCCAGCAGGCCATCATTACTGACATCTCCGTAATGCACGTTGCCTCTAGATGGGAAAGACGCAATCAGAAATCTCAGGTGTTTGGGATTTTATGCTAACAACCTCCACAGTGCATACATCTCCAAAGACGTTTATACGGGGTAGATACAGGTGAGAAAATGCGCAGCTGAAGATCCCAGCTTTGCTCTGGGCAGAGAAGTTGTTGCTAACAGAAAGCAAACCATCTGCAGCTGCAGCCATCCAGCATCTGACTGAATGTTTAAGGTAAAGGCAGTGCTACGACGCACGGTGTCTGGCTCACGTACGACGCACGCTCAGGGCTGCAGCGTGAGGAAGCGACACGCACGAACCCCGCGGCCCGCACCGGCCCCCGCCGTCCTGCCCTGCGGAGCACACAGCGGGACGGCCCCTCCCGGGCACGGCGGCGGCTCAGCTCCCGGGCCCGGCCTGCCCCTCGCCGCCAGCAGCTCACCTGTCGCCTCCTCCCGGCGGTTCGCCACCTTGTCGGCCAGCGCCAGAGCCCGGGGCGGGCGGAGCGCCGGGGGCCGCTTCTTGTTCCGCCACTGCCCCGACACCCAGCGCGTCACCCAGGCGGGGTAGGCGGGCGCCGCCATGGCCGCGCGGGAAGCCCCGGCCCGCGCAGCCGCCTGCCCGCCCCGGGGCGGGCCGTGGAACTGAGCACCGCCCCTCAGCTTCCCGTGGGGCGGCACCGCTGCGTGCTGCCCCAGCGACATGGAGCCGAAACTCCTCCTGCGGCAGGAACAGCAAAGGAAGGGCAAACACGCTTCAACCAGAGCAGCAGAAGTTGTGATTGTCTCAAGTAATTCAGATGGAATTAAAGGAATCACAGAATAGGCGAGGTTGGAAAGGATCACAGTGAGGCATCTGTGCTCAAGCAGAGGCCCAGAGCACATTGCACAGGATTGCATCCAGACGCTTATGGAGTATTTCCAACGAGGGAGATAACACAGCCTCTCTGGGCTGTTCCAGTGCTCGGCCACCTGCACAGTAAATAAATAAATAAACACAGTAAAGTTGTCACTCATGTTCAGATGGAACTTCTGAGCATCAGTCTCTGCCCGTTGCCTCTTGTCCTGTTGCACAGCACCACAGAGAAGAGCCTGGATCCCTCCATCCCTTTGATGCTCTCCCCTCAGATACTATAGACATGGATAAGGTCCCTCTCACTTGTCTCTTCTCAAGTTCTTCTGCAGCTGTATGGAAACTCTTTCTCATCACATAGCTCTCAGCCCCTCATTTCTCTCCATTATATTACAGCTGGATCTCCCCTGCATTGCTCCTACTGTTCCTTCCAAGAAGATACTGAAACTGCTGTTTCCAAAATGAAGCAGCATCGTTCACACAGCCTCGTACTCTTGTTCCCAGAAGTTTCTTCCCTAGGTCCTGGAAGTTCTCAACTCATCTGGCAGGTTCTGGAGTGCTTATGTCTCCAGCTGAAAAAGGCAGGGAATATAGAAGGCACAAGAGCATTCCAAGGGCTGGGATACAAACAGGTCTCTGCACAGCAGGAGGGACAAGGTAGAGGCACAAAACGGAGGAGTTAGATGCTGAACACTGGGGACACGAAGCACTCAGATCCTTGACAGGGAGGAGTTCCTGAATATGCCATTTTACCACTGTATCAGGAACTGCTGGATTCCTCTGACCATATACAGAAGACTAAATGAAAAATGCTTTTCTCTGCAATTTCTTTTTTCCCCACAGGACACTGATTTGAATTAAAATATATTCAACCTCCTAGACATAAAACCCAAAGCACACCTCTTTGCCTAGTCAAGGAAGTTAGAGACTTTAGAAATTCTGTTAACTTGAGCTAAACATCACCAGACCTACATCACAATATTCGCAATATGGTTACTAGAATTTACTGCATCTGCTGACAATAAATCCTGGTATAGCCAAATCTATAACTAGTTTTGTGTTATGTTTAAAGTATTATATGCTTAGAGTCCAAATTACAGAGTATAAGAAGACATGTTCAAGTAAACAAAAGATGTATTTTTTAGCTCTCTTCTGGGAGTAAATTTTCATCTCTTAAGGTCCAAATTCAAACACTTTCTGGAAATTCTAAAAGATTTTGGTAAGCAGGATGTTTCTCTATTCCTATTTTTTTCCCCAAAAATACAGGAAATAAGCTATCCTTTGAGCTTGACTACCAGTAGAGAAGAAAGAAAACAAGTTGACACCTTCAAATTAGGACAGAGGGCTTGCACTGTGCAATTCTGAACAATAGAGACTTTGAAAATCCCAGACAGGGACATGAAATAAATTTCAGTATTCCCGTTCATGTGAGGTTCAGCTATTCTTGGTTTTGCCTCTTCTCACTACGCTTCCTACCTTACTGCTAACCACCCACCTTTCCCTGCTGCATCTGCCTCCTGCCATGTCTAACTAGATCAGCACAGAAACAATAACAAGGAAAGACAAAAGTACTAGGACATAAGAAAAGCTGAACTCCGTGTAAATCAGCCTCCCTTTTCCCAAATTACATTAGCTAATGGTGGCAGCATCTTCAAGTCCTTTCACCCTCAAAAGCTGATCTCTCATTTAAGTAATTCCAAGAAAAATGATGTGGGGGAGGAGGGGTGGCTGAGAAATAGAAAGGCAAACTACACAAGGAGAATTGTAATAGCTTCCTGTAAGTTACTGCAGTCTGCATTAGAACTAATTTTTTGGCATCAGTCCCATATTAGAGCCTCAGCATAAGAGATTCCCAAGCAGACAGAATAAGGTACATGATGGTGTCTGCACTCACCATGCAGAGATGTCTGAAGCAGGACACAGTTTTATTATTAAACATTATTTTTTAATATTACACATTAATTTTAAGGAAGAATGTGGAACTACAAAAGGGCTGTGTTACTCAATAGCCAAATGTCTCTATAGCCTGACAGCACCAAGTCACTAATGGATGGGACAAAAGTGCTGACTTTATAGGGACAGTCACAAACCAAACTCCCTCAGTGGACCCCAGAGATGTGAATCTTGAATGTACAACTATAAAAACAATTTAAAACTTTAACTTTCACTAATTAGCATTTACAACATTTTTTCTTGTATCGACACATTTAATCCTAGCTTGCGTTTCAGCTGGTCAAAACCAAAATGAACCACAGAGCTTAAACTTTTAATATTAGATTCGAAAAGAATATACATCACAAGTGTGTAAGGGCCACATATGATGCCACAGTAAATGCTATGCCACAATTAAAGACAATGCTAGCAATGCTGTGATAAAACACACCCTTTAAAATGAGACTGCTTCCTTAAATACCTCATTAAGAGATGAGAAATTACACCAAGTATTCTTCACTTTCTGGTGTAGTTATTTAAAAATCAGTTAGGGGATGAGGCTAAGAAATCTATTGTATTGGCAAAAAAGAACAGAGTTGATATCCATGTCTTTTTGACTGCCTGGATCCAACTTTCAGACAAATTCCAGTATATTCACACAAATTTATCCTGAATACACCATACCAGTTCATAATACCCTCATCTACCACATTTTATTCTCATCTGTCTCACCCTGACCACCTTAAACCAATTTAATTAGAGATGCCTTAAAATTTAAAGCACTTCAACTTTAACTTTAGCAGAGAAGCTAACCAGTTTGCTAAGATTCCAGGTGGTTCAGACTTAACTCCTGCCTGCTGAGCTATTGTGTTTGGACAGTATTAGCACTTAATGCTCTTATTAGCACAATGTATTCATGCACTCACAGCTGGACGTGTCACACCCCATCCCAACTCCCACAACCACCCTTATCCTGTGCTATCTCAACCAGATAAGCTGCCCTGCATTTTTCTGAGCTGCCATCCCTAATTCCCAGGATCAAGGATACTCAGCCCATTTCCACTGCAAATCACCTGTGCCTTCTTATTTGCTCAGAGATGCCACAAAGTATTATAATCTGCTCTGATCCATTTCAAGATGCCCAGAACCATCTCTGCCTGAGACACTTGCACTGTAAATGGGTCTTTTCTGCAGTAAAAAATGTATTTAACGGCACACAAATTAAGATGCTAGTGGTGTCAGAGTTCTGGAACAAATCCTGTAGCTCCACTCCTCTCTATCTTTCCTAGTTCCTCTGCAGGGCCATATATCTCTCACTACCAGCTCTGAGACAATGGACTATAAAAATAAATACAGTTTCTTAAAGCCTGACGCAAGCTTTGGCTCAGTTGTTCATATCATTAAAAGGATTTTGTCTCTGATTAATTTCAACCTGTCAGGAGAGGTCTCTGGGCAGAATGAAGGAACTTGCCACCTGTATGTTTCCAATTAATACAACTTCCCAGAAGGTGCCTGGAGATCCATCAATAACCTTAATTAAATACAACCAAAGAGATGACAACTAATGATTAAGGGAGTGACTCTCCTGGGACTGGGGCTGAAGAGTGTGTATGGCAGGGCAGAAAGTGAGGCAGATGGCTGCTTGTCTAACACAGAAATGCCTGTTAAAACTCTGATGTCCCTGATGGCTGAGTTGTAAGTCAATTTACCCTGTTCCCAGTCATTTAGAAGTTGTTCTTCCACACAACTTAAAACTACCCTCAGTCAAAATGCAAGAGGGGCATTTCTGTTGATTCTCCAGCTGCTGCTGCACTTGGCACACCATTTCCAGAGAAAGCAGCTCATTCTCTTTTCCCTCTAAACATATACATCCACTGTTGCTTGGATCTCATTCTACTTACCATTACAGAGGACCCAGAGGTCTTTCAGTTTGACAATTACTACAGTGACTGAAGTAATAAAAGGCAACTCTTTCTGAACTCCTTTTGAGTTCTAGAAATCATGTTAAGGTATCAAATCAATATTCTTCAGTGAAGTTACATGCTTTCTAAAAATTGCAGTCCTTGCTAAAGGACAGAAAACACAGACTACTAGTTCAGTAAATAAAATAACCAGCTTCTAACTGAAAAAATAGGCAACATGTGGTATCACAGTTTTGGCAGAAGAATGAGAACTGTGGCTTGTCCAGTCAATGCAATTCCTTGGACTGCTAGATCTTTAACCTTCAGTCAGTTACTTGTTTCTCGTTTCTCACCTCTCTGAGGGCATAAATTTATTCTAGCTTGTCAAGTCAATTCTGAGACACAGCATCAATAGAATCTACTGGTGTTTCATGTGAGCAGTAATGAGAAGATATTTATTTTTAGAACAGTAATGCTAGTGAACAAAGCTATCCTGACAGCTTTGAAAGCCTCCCTGTAGTCACACAGTAAACAGACCCAATGCATGACAAGCAGTGAAGCCACTCACCCTAGTCTGCAGGATCCTGCCAAAGCATTTACATGGGTAAACATCTTCAATATTTGGTATCTTTGATAAATTCCTTATTAGTCTCAGTTTCTATGAATATGAGTACCTGCACTGTAAGGACATGATTAAGATAAATGTTGAATCTATCGTGTTTAGTCTGAGTATCACATAGCCTTCCCGTAGTCAGAACATGAGCGATGACATTCTTGCTGGTTTGGATTTAAAGCAGTGAGCAATCCAGTTAGCCAAGAACAGAAATTAGGAAACCTTTTCCAAAATAATAATGCTGTAGTGACCTTCTTCCTTGTCTGCATTCACATGCTTGCATTAGCAGAAAGACAACTAGGA